AAAAAAAAAAAAAAAAAAAAAAAAGAGTGACCAATGTCTCAACTAGCCGAATCCCTTAGTTGCCTGATTCCATAACACATGTGGCTATATATGGGTCCCAGTCCCCAAAAGAAGACCTCTCCCTTAGAATTGGACTTGGAACAAGTAGAGAGTTGGGACTGAGCCTAGTCAGTTCCCTCATACTCAGATGACTTAGTACTTTAACCACCCCAGGCCCTCAGTAACTTGGGCAGGACATGGCTCCCCAAAGTGATTAATACACCCCCAAATAACTGCAAAGCCATACTGGCTCAATGCCTCCCCCTTGCCTCTTCCTGATTCCACTCAAAGGAGCAAGGTGTATTCCCCACCATTGCCTCATTTTTTCTGCTCACAAACCTCAAGTGCCTTTCCCCTGATTACCTCCTCTGTCTGCTGCTGGGAGCTCAGTTCACTTTCCATGGCCGCCTCATTATTCCGCTTACAGGCTGTCGACAGAACCTGGCTGGATTTGCCCAGGGAATCCTTCTCTTCAGCCAGCTGGCATTCGGTATAGAGAGACCTGTCTATCAGCTCCTTTAGGCTGCTGGCCACCTTCAGGAAGATACGACCCATTTTGGTGGCAACAGCTTCTGAGAGTCCTTCCAGAAACCTGGTCCGTAGAATGGCATCAGACCAGGACAAATGTCGGGCCAGCAGTAGGAAGTCAGTGGCATACTGCCTGACTGACTTCTGGCCCTGCTTAGGATGGCAAAGAATAGCGCTGAGGATGTCTATCTCAGACAGAGAGTCATATAAGCCCTGGGCTCTGCTCAGGAAAGATTTATCTTCATCTGAGAGGGGGTTTCCTACCTCCATCTGCAAAATGGACCACCTCTCTGCTGCCCCCAGATGAAGGGACACCAGAAATGCCATTTTCTCTGAATCATCCAAAAAACCCTTCATTTGCTTCTCCTCATCAATTTCCATCTCTTCCTCTTCAGGGCACGAGCCCCGGGCTGCTTCCTGCTCTTCTAAGAGGTAACAGAGTGCTGGAGTCAACATTCCAAAAGATGGCACTTCCTTTGGTGGTGGCTTCCTAGTTTCAGGGGTTGTGGTAGTCGCACGAGGTGTGGGCTTTGATCCAGAGGCGGTGGTGTTGACATGAGAAGCACCTGCCTCTCCAGAGTCTGTGGCTTTGGGTTCCAGAGTGGACATCATCCCAGAGGCTGTCTGCGGGATGGATTTTCCCCCAGTGGCTGGGGCTCTCATTAGTGGCACGAACATAGCTCCAGAGGCTGTGCCTTTCAGTAGTGGCGTAGATATCATTCCAGAAGCTGAGGATCTCATAAGCGGTGTGGACAGCACTCCAGAAGCAGAGGCTCTCACTGGTGGGGTCATCCCTCCAGAAGTCGTGTAGGTAGTTTGTGGCAGGGACATCGATCTAGAGCTTATGACTCTGGTTTGCAATGTGGACATTGCTCCAGAGGCCGTGGTTTTCATTAGTGGCATAGACATCTCTCCAGAAGCCATGGCTGACATCAAAGGCATGGGCATTGTACCGGAGGCCGAGGATCTCATTAATGGCTTGGACATCCCTCCAGTGGCCATGGCTGTCGTCTGTGCAGTGGACATCTTTCCAGAGGCTGGAGCTCTCATAAACTCTGTGGACGCAGCTTCAGAGGCTGAGGGTCTCTTTAGTGGTCCAGATGTGTTTCCAGAGGTTGGAGCTCGCATTGGTAGTGTGCACATGTCTCCAGAAGCTGTGGGCATCATTTGTGATGTAGATGTCACTCTGGAGGCTAAGCCTTTCATCGGCAGCAAGGGCGTCCCTCCAGAGGTTGAGGATGTCATCTGAGGCATGGTCAGAGTTCCAGAAGCTGTGGATCTCATTAGCAATGTGGACTTTGCTCCAGAGATTGGAGCCTTCATCTGTGGCATGGACATCATTCCAGAGGCTGTGGCTGTCATTTGTGGAGCAGGTATTGCTCCATAAGCTGGGGCTCTCAGAGGTGTGGCTATCTCTCCCGAAGCTGGGGGGTATATTAGTGGTAGGGACATGTCACCGGAATCTGAGGCTCTCATTAGTGGTGTGGCCATCACTCCAGAGGCCCGGGCTCTCACTATTGGTGTGGACATCACGTCGGAGGCTGAGGGTCTCATTTGCATCCCCCCAGAGGACATGGATCTCATGAGCAATGTGGGCATCCCTCCAGGGTCTTGGGTACTCACTGACTGATTGGGCATCTTTCCAGAACTTGTGGCTCTCATGAATGACATAGGCACTGTTCCAGGGCCTGAGGCTCTCATTGACAGCATGGACATAGCTCCAGGGGCTGTGGCTGTCATTTGTGATGTGGACATTGCTCCAGAGTCTGTGGCTCTCCGTAGCAGTACAGATATCCCTCCAGAGGCTGTGTCTGTCATTTCTGGCATGGACAGAGCCCCAGAGGTTGTGTCTCTCATTAGCGGTGTGGACATCGCTCCAGAAGCTGTAGTTGTCATTTGCTCCACAAACACTTTTCCAGGGACTTTGGATGTCATTGGTGGCTTGGACAATGTCCCAGAGGCCAGAGATCTCATTGGTGCCATGGACAGCCCTCCTGAGGCTGTGTCACTCATGAACAGAGTAGACGTTGATGCAGAGAATTTTGCTGTCATTGCTCCAGAAGATGTGGCTCTCGTTTGGTGTGTTGATGTCAATCCTGAAGCTGTGGTTTTCATTTGTGACACAGACATTGTTCCAGAGACAGGGGTTCTCGTTTGCAGCATGGACATTGACCCAGAGGCTGGAGCTGTCAACTGCGGCATGGACATTGTTTCAGAGGCCGTGGCTGTAACTGGTGGTGTGGACTTTGTTCCAGAAGCCGTGGCTCTCCTTCGTGGCGTCTTTCCACAGGCTGAGGCTCTCGTGCGCTGTGTAGATTTTGCTCCATCGGCTGTACCTTTCCTAAAGCCTGTGGCCGTCACTTCAGAAGTTTTGGCTGCTGTTAATTGTGCGGACATCACTTTAGAGGCTGTAGTTGGCATTTGCTCTGTGGATGCTGCTACAGAACTTGTGACTGTCATCAGTGGGGTGGCCATTGCTACAGGAGCTGGGTCTATCTTTTGCAAAGTAGACATGTTTCCAGAGGCTGGAGCTCTCATTAGTGGTGTAGACACTGCTCCAGAATCTGAAGCTCTCGCTGATGGTGTGGACAGCATCCCCGAGGCTGTTGCTGTCATTGATGGAGCAGACATGATTTCAGAGTCTACATTTTGTGGTCCCCATGGGGACATCACTCCAGAGCTTGGGGCTGATATCAATTGGGTAGGCATCACCCCAGAAGCTAGGGCTGTCATTAGCAGTGGGGATGCTGCTTCAGTGTCTGGGGCTGCCTTTGGTAATGTAGACATTTCTCCAGCATTTGGGACTGACAGTAGTGGTGTGGACATTGCTCCAGAGCCTGGAGCTGACATTAGCAATGAAGACATTATTCCAGAGTCTGGGTCTGACATGAGTGGGGTGGACATTCCCCCAGAGTCCTGGGTGCTTGTTGGCTGGGCTGATGTATCTTCAGAAGCTAGGGCTGACATTATCAGTGAGGATATAGCTTCAGAATCTACGTCTGACATTAGCAATGAAGAAAGCTCTCCAGAGGCTAGGGCAGTCATTAGCACTTTGGACATTGCTTCAGTGTCTTCATCTGTAATTTGCAATGGGGACATGGCTTCAGAGTCTGGAGCTGGCATTGACTGTGCGGACATCCCTATATAGTTTATATCTGGCATTAGGAGTGGGGATATCTCTCCAGGATCTGGAGCCAGCATTAATGATGTGGACATTGCCTCAGAAGATGAGGTGCTCGTTATAGGTGTAGACATCGCTCCAGAGGAAAGAGTTGGCATTGCCAATGGTGAGATGTCTATAGAATCTGGTGCCATTAGTGCTGAGGACATGATTCCAAAGTCAGGAATTGTCATCATCCCTGGAGACATTAATCCATAATCTGAAGAGGACAGCAATGGGGACAGTGTCCCAGAATCTGAGGCCGGTGTCAGCAATGGGGACAGTGCCCCAGAATCTGATGCTGGCGTTAGTAATGGGGACAGTGCTCCAGAGTCTGAGGTTGGCATTAGCAATGGGGACAGTGCCTCAGAGTCTGAAACTGACATTAGCGGTGGGGACGCTGTTCCAGAGTTTGGTGTTCCCATTAGAGGTGCAGACATGGTGTCAAAGCCTGGAGATGTCGTCAGCTGCATTGAAGTCCCTCCAGGGTTTGAGGCTGAAGTTGAGACTGCTGGCAACGGGACATGAGAATGCAGGCTTTGGACCTCAGCTCTGGCTTCTGGCATTGGTCTAGAGAAGGACATCCCCCTGTTTTGAGGGTCAACATTTTCCTCCTTCATATTGTCAAGTTGCAGTGAACGTAAGGGTACTGACATATTCCACAGCCACAGGACAGTGTGCAGGGAGCCCCTAAAGTGATGACATCAGGGGTCCTGCTGAAACCCAAGTGGTAAGAAAATCTGTAAACAAGAAACAAATTTAGAGGTCAAAAATCAACATCAAGCATTAATGTACACAGCTATGATTTAATTTAAAAAATCAACATCAAAAAGATTGGTAAACAAATGATTCATGATGCAGACCTGTTTTATATGTTGCCAGGTATGTGGTATTGGAGACGGGCCTATCAGATTAAAGAAGCTGTGTAGCTATGAACAACTTTTGAGCTGGAAAAAAATATCCTTTCTGTCTCCATCCTTTTCAAACCAACCATTCTAGGTACACAGCACAGCCTCTCAGTTTATAAATGTTGTAAACGCCAGCATCCTCAGCAGCCCAGGAGCCTGGCAGTACTCGATCAAATGAGGCGGTAGCACCACCTTCTGGCCATATGTGAGAAGTGCAGGTCCCTGGCTATTACATTCTATCCCACCGCGATACTCACGAGATCGCAGACCCCAGTGCGAAAGCCCTTTGCACAAGAATAATCTTTAGTTCCTAGGGCTCGCTGAATCCTGTCAGTGGTTCAGATCCCATTTTACTACTCTTATGGCCCTGAATGTCCTCAGGATAAGGAAGCCATTTATCTGATCAGTGACTAAGAGCAACATTTTATGAACTGAAAATCCTGCTTATTATTACCATGATTATTATTGATCACCACCCCACCACCACTACTACTATTTATTGCTGACTTATTTTCCAGTCACTGTACTTTAGACAACTGTACACGACTGCCTGTAATTTTCAGGCTTTTATAAGCAGCATTCCATCTGGGTCTTACAACATCTTATGCAATAGGTATTAATATTATTTCCATTTTATCAGCTTTCTCAGATTAGCCAGAGCTGAGATCACTGCAACAGCAACAAAACGTCTATTTTTGTCTCCCACTCTTTTCTGGAGGGTGCCTCGCCTTTGGCATCCCTCAAGTCATATTCAAGTATTTCTCTAAGATCCTAGATCATGGCTTGCTTGAAGCCCAGTCTATGACATGTACAAATTTCAAATCCTTCTGATGAAATGGGGGTGGACAATCCCAAAGTCTTACCGCTCCAGTCCCGCTGCCATGAGAAGCCCCAAAAGGGGCTCTTTGACACACAGCTTGGAAACTAGTGCAAATATTACACAATGTTGACATGTCCCCGTGGCCTGCCCCTGCCAAAACTGGAAGACTTGCTACTTTGAGACAATGTTATGAAAGTCATCAACCAAGTGACACTGTACCTTGATGATAACAACAACAACAAGAAAACCAGCAATAGAAATACCAACAGTGAACACTTCTTGAGTAGGCACTGACTGGCAACACTCTGCTAGGCACCTGACTGCATCATCTTATCAGGTCTCCACAGCAACACTAAGATTTTGGTAGTATTCTTGCTTCATCTCACAAATGAAAGCATTCAGGCCCAGAGAAGGTTAACAATTTGCCTGCAGTCACACAGCTTCCCGGGTCCTTCCACCTCCAGGAACCCCCTACTCTCCACCACTGTGCTCAGTCACATTACCAAGACCCCTTCCTCTATCTCCAACTCTGAGACAGGGTGTTGTAAAGGAAATGGTGGCCCCCTGCTGACACCTTGGTTATTATAATAATTGGTGCGATGGGAAAGATGAGGCAAAAGAGGAGTCACAGAACTCTACCTCTCAGCTTCAGAAAAATCCCTGAACATGCCACTGTTTCCCACCAGGCAAAACCCAGAAAGATCTTACCTTGCCAGGGACGGAGAAAAGGGAGAGAGTATCTTTTGTGCCCCTAGCGCTTTTGGTCTGGCCAATTGACTTATAACCCGTGCCCAACCAGTTCATTAAAGTAAGACCCAATACTAGCAGCTGTTCTCTGCAATCTCCCTTAGCTATCCCCTGCCACGCCCCCCTGCCCGCCAGCCAGCCTGCCCGCCCACCCGCTCCACTGCTCCTGACTTGCTACTGCTTGCTCTGTCTCTCTGGTCCCAGATTCCTGCCTCTATATAGGCTCTGACATTTGCCTCTGGCCGCCTTTCATTTGACAGCCCTCCAGAAACTCCGCTTTAACACTTGGCCTATGCAGCTCCACCCCTCTTCCGCTCTCCCCCAGCAGTCCCCAACGGTCCTACCAGCCTACACCCCACTCCACTGTGCCCACCTCTGGTGGTTCTAAAGAGAAGACACAATTACGGAGATGAGACTAAGAGGGTCCTGGCTCAGGAAATGAGACATATGCCCTCTGTGGTGGGGTAGACACAGAAGCACTGGGGGCCGGACCCTGCAGCTGGTATGCCATGGTAGGCAGGTGCTTGGAGCCAAGGCAACAGGGGCCAGAGATCCTGCAGAGCAGTGTCAGAAACATTCCAAGATGTTCCGGTGCAGAGAAAGCAGAGCTTCAAAGGACGGCCAGGGAAGCAGACACCTTAACAGAGCCCTGCAATCATGATCATCACCAAGCCAATTTGCCCCGGGGTCAGACACATGGAAGGGAATCCAGCAACCATGTCCCTGCCACAGGGCTAGATTTCAACAGCAAGGCCCCATGGATTGCAGACAGCTGGCAAGAAAAACACACCTGTCTCAAGCACACCAGGTGAGGGCCTGTTCATAGAAACAGGGCTACAGCCTGCTTTCTAGAACTGGAGCGCAAAGCCAGAGAAGAAGTAGCAGGAAGGTTGACCAGAGTCCTCCAGCCTTCTTGAATCACTATCCCTTCTTCAGTCTAAGGGCAGAATTGGTCCCTGAGCCCTGGATAGGGCAATGCCTCCCAATGAAGTTCAAGTGGCCCAGGCACAGGGAAGCACAGTTAGGAGGGGGAGGCATTCAGGTTGTTATAAACCAATTAGCAACCAAAACTAACTGAACACTTGAGCTAAGCACTACATATATATCTTTCTGCTCTCCTCATAACACCTGTAAGGTAGGCACTGACATCACTCTCATTCTATACATGGGGAAAGGTCCTTAGAGAAGTCTACGAGACCAAGGTCACAGAGCCAGTAAATGGCAAAGCCCAGATTAGAGCCCCAGTTTGGTTCCAAAATCACTGTCTCTCTTTGTAATCAGATAAGTGATTAAAAACTCAAAGTGCTCTATTTACTGCCCCCACCCCCACCTCCCACACCACCAAGCAAGGAGACTCTGTTAAAACAAATGGCTGAATCACAATAGTAATAATAATAGTAATAATACCAACTAGCCCTGCTTGAACTCTTCCCATAGGCTAAGAACGGTGCTAAGGGCTTTTTCTCCAGCATTATCCTATTTGGTCTTCACAGCTACCCTGTGAACCAGGTCCTTTTAATGCTCAGTATCCTTACAGGTAAGGAAAGGGACCCTCAGTGAGGGGAACTAACATGACCAAAAGCATACAGCTGGCTTACTCCAGAGCTCACTACAGTGTACTGCTCAAAAAGAAAAATTCCAGCCACTCTCCATTCTCCCCTAAACCAAAGACAGAGTCACAGAAATCCACTCTATTAACAACAGCATCATAACATCCTCATCCTCATCACCATCATTCATATCCGGAACAAGAAAAGGCTACCATTCACTGTGCCGGGCACTGTGCTAAGAACTTATCTACGATCGCACTTGATCCTCACAACATCCCTGGGAGGTAGGGACTATTATCTCCTTCACTTTCCACAGGAGAAACCAGAGGCACAGCAAGGTTACCTCGCTTTCCCAATGTCACACAGCTACCGAGCCCTTTATGGAGTTTCTGTTTGAACATCACAATTTTGGAAATAACCGAAATGCCTAATGTTACAACATAATTCATTTAATGATTAAATGAATCATGCTGCAGCTGGGGCAGTCACTAATGTAGTCCCTGAAAATTATATTCTAGTGTGTACATAATGATCTGATTTTTATAAAATAGATGTGTAGGTTCCTGCATAGGAAAAAAATAAAATCTGGGAGGATAGAGACAAAAATGTTAACAGTGACTATGCTTGAATGGTGGGATTAGAGGGGACTTTCATTTTCCTTATCTGGCTTTTCTTCTTTGTCATAATGGACCCACAATACTTGTATGAAAAAATAATAAAAGTTAATTTTCTGTGATCTAGGGTTCTTTTCTATCTGTAGCCCTTTCCACTCCTCCCCTGCAAGCTCACGCTAGGGATCCCAACATCCCCTACCCAGGCAAACTTTATCCCCCAGCAAGCTTATCAGTTGCACCACTAAGGTCTTTGGTCAGCAATGACCTCTGACAAGTCCAATGACTGGCTTTTACTGTGTATTTTTTGGTGTGTCTTGAAGAAACAATTTCTTGATCCTCTTTTATTCCTGTTTAATAGAGTAATCTATTTCCATAAGTAATCTAAAAAATATATACTCCGGATAAAAACCTTGAAATCTTCTGTATAGATACAGCTGAAGCCCTCAGACTACCCCACCCCCCTCCCATCTCCGCAAGTCCTATTCCTCTGCCTGTTCGCAGTTGGGTGTGTCTACTTCCAAACTTTTTCTAGCTGCAATGGCATTCAGAGTTCATATCATGCAATTGCTTGCAAAACCCAGTGTGTGCAAAGAGCTACAGTTAGAAAAACATTCTGGCACTGGGCACCCCAGAGTTCCAAGTTCTGGCCCATTGAGACCATTTTCGTCAGTTTGCTTCTAAGGAGGCCACCAAGAGAGGGTTGCATTGAGGCATAGACTTCTGTTCTATGAAAGCCAGAGTCTCTAGGAACACAGAGAAGGGAGGCCTTCTAAGGAAAGAAAAGCCCAGCAATCGCTGCCTAGCATCTCTCGGTCCCTCACGTCCCACCCAGTCTGCCCTGATCAATACGGCTAGGGGGTGGCATGCTCCTGCCGCCACACAAAAGGTAATTGAGTTTGGGGGATTGCATGGCTAGCTGCTCAGGGAAATAAGCATAAACAAGAGCTGGTTCAATATGTCAACAAATAGCTTTCCAGCTGTTGAAAATAAGCCTTTGCCTAGATCCTCTCCCCCAGC